TAATAGAAAGCTATTTACAAAGAGATAAAATAATTGTAACTTGAGTTATTTTGGTGATTTGTACTTTCCTTAACAAGTGCCAATGATTACTACCCCTTGTAACTTCCTAGGAAAACAGAAAAATGTGTATTTTCATCTTTTACATAGATGATTATTTAGGAATACATTTAAATCTGCACCAAATATGTTAATACTAAGTTAAGGCTGCAAATATTTTAATTCTGTCAAAATACATTTCAAGAGAGAGATAGTTTTAAAGCTTGTGAGCATTTTGTACTGACATTTAACTTCAATTTCCAGGACAAATTGTATGTGTATAGCAGCTACAACCAGAAACTGGGTGGCAGGCCTGCCAGGACTGGAGTGATGAAGAAGCAGCACGGTCCAGTGTTTTTTTAAAGGATGGAATTAAAATTGGCTAGGAAAGGCTGTCCAGCCTGGGAGCTGCAGAAGGGAACACAGCAGGTGTGGGACTGGGGCTGGCTGAAAAACTAGGGGAAGGTGGGAACTGTTTGGCATCAGAATGAACAGAATAAAAGATAGGGTTTGGGAGGGAAAAAAAAAACAGAAAGAAGAGAAAAATGCAACTGTCTGAGCAAATATATCAAATCAAGAGGTGTGCAGGGAATGTGAAATAATAAAATGGCCACCAAGCTGGGAGCTGGGGCAGGGAATAGGTGTAAACTTGCAGATTGGGAGCGCAAAGGGTAGTTGGAGATTCAGTGAGTTAGAAAAGGGAGATGGATCTGATTGAGAACAGGGAGAATTTGGTCTGGAAGGAGATGCATGATAGTCTTTTATACTCCTTCCCTCGCTGATAATGTCTGAGTAGCTTTTTACGTAAAACTAATAACACCCCAGTTTTCCCTYRTGATAGGAGGGGATCTTTATTGMRCTGGAACTAGACTAAGTCATTTGGATGTTCAATTTGTGCTTTTGGGGGGATAGGAGAGAAATATTTCTTCTTTGATCAGAGACCCTTTGGAGTTTGGTGACAAACTGTGAATGTCTTTTGTAGCGAGAAGCCTTTTCCAAATTATTCTGAAAGATGTCTGCAGCGTGGCTTAAAAACAGCCATACTCTGATCATACTCTGAACTSCCTTTCTTTCTTTTTTGGTCCAGTTAATCTCAAAAAAGGCAAACTTCATCTGCTTTGCTGTGTGTTCCTTGGCCTGTAATTTGTGCTGTTGCAAAGGGAAGCAGCTGCTGCAGYTGTTTGTAGATGTGCCTGCAGTCTCTGCTGCTGCTGGGGTTGGCCTTGTAGCTCTTTGGCCAACAGGGTCAGTGCATTCCACCAGCATTGGAAGCTGAGTAGGAGCTGTTTGGAAAGATCCAAAGCAACACGTCGGTTTTGCTTTGTGTTTTTGGGGTTTTTTTTGGTTTTTTTTTGGGTTGTTTTTGTTTTTTTTTTCTAGTAACGTTTTGAAACAGTATTTAATTGTGATATAATAGTTGCAACTAATTCATCCTGGTGGGGAAAATGCCTGCCTTTCCCTGCCCAGAGTCACCTGGGCAAGATGAGAGTTTCCCGACAGGGGAAAGGTGAAAGAGATTATTTTGAAAAATGTCTGCTACTCGGACAGCCCAAATGAGTACAAGCAGTGGAAGTCTGCCTCTTTTTGCTGAATGAGGGCTGTCTAYTTTCTGCGAAAGGTGCTAAAAACAACTTCTAATCTGAATGTTCTTCTTTTCTATTCATTATCATTTGAGTCTTCTTTGGCTCCAATCTGCACCAGCTGTTTTCCACCCTAATCTTCTTTCCCACAGCAATCTGRCCACGTTTGCAGCAGCGGTGGTAATGCTGGGTGAGGATGAAGTACTGCAGTTGTCCTTGGCATGTTATTGCCGGCTAAACCAGTGGAATCTCATTAGGTTAGATTTCTTCATGGTCGCTTATGGATGCCTAAGGGTGGAAGATGCCTGTGGTCTGCAGAGATAAAGGCCTTCGGAAAGGAGGAGCAAACGCTTATCAGTGCTGCCAGTGAAAGATGAACGTCTCTAGTCTTTTTAGAGCTGGGCCAGCTCTTTCTCTGCTCTCCTGTGAGCACACAAATAGCGTTTGTGGTAAAGCTCAAAGGCCCTACCTGTTCCTACAGCCCTGGAAAAGCACGGCTTTAATGGCATTAATCAGCGAGGATGTAACGAGGAAGCAAAACCTGATAATATTGGAATAGCTTTTCCTTCTCTGGGCTTTCCCTGGGTTCCGCTGTGGGCAGTGGGCGTACAATACTCYATAGTCCTGCCTGCGGTGTTCCTTAGGCGCTTGAAAGCAGCCGGAGCTGCCAGCGGCAGGGCGGGAGCAGCGCTGCAGCCCTACAGGAGACACGACGGCTTCCTCGGCCCCCGGGCTCCCGGAGGAAAACACTGGTTCGCTGTGGGAGGGGGCAGCTCCGGGGCCGGGACAGCCGGGCCCCGCCCCGCCTGGCGTCATGGAATTCCAGGGCGCTCCCGCCAATGGCGGCGGGGGCACGTCCGGTGCCACCCGCGGCAGCCCCGGCGAGGGGGGGGCTCCGGTCCCSGCCGGTGACCTCGGGGCTCGGTCCCGCCGGGCCGCCAGGGAGGGCCGCAGCCGGGGAGCGCGGCGGGAGCGGCTCCTCCTGCGGGAGAAGGACGGACGGAGAGCGCTGGAAGCGCGGCCGCTTCCTCCGCACCTCCGGGAGCGGGCAGAGCTAAAGCTGACCGGGACAACATAGGATTATTAASCTCTGGGCAGCTTCTTGCGGTTGGGAACTAGTGCTGCCCTTTTGAACTTTTCCTGCTGCTTATCATGGGATGTGTGTGTTATGCGGGAATTTTGGTGCCCGGCTTTTAGAGTTTATAGAGCATTTGCAACTGCTCTTATTATATAATTCTGCACAGCTCAGAGTTCACTTTCTGCCTGTCCAGTAAGGTGCTGTTCTCTCATAAAATACTACTCAATAGATAAATCAATCCACTGATACTTCCGTAAGTATAAATAAAATCCTTTGTGGTTTCTCTTTCCTGACAGTCAACTCCCATAATCTCACCGTAGGGTCAGAGGGAGAGGTGTATATGTGGTGTGTTTTGTCAAGTCTGTGTAGTGCAACCCTCTACGTTTGTCTGAGTGGTAAAGCAGACTATATCTATTTTAGCAGGGTGTTCTGCCCATGATAACACTCTTTCTTGTCAGGTTTGATTAGCCCCAAGTGAATGCTCACATGGCTAAACCACTTCTGCTGCTGGAGGTAGTTTGGATGTCTYCACACAGAGTTGCGTTACATCACCATCCGTAATAAAGATTTTGCAAAATCAAATGTGACTCCTTCTAATGCCTAAATGACAGACAAGATGGTTGCACCGGTTTGTGGGAGCAGAGAATCTGACTCTCYAGTTGAGATGTGCTTAAGACAATTGCCAGTGACTGTTCAGCTGTATTAGAGTGCAGGTTAGTTGCCCACAGGGCATTTTGATCCTGACATTAATAGAAAATAAAGACCAAATTTTCTCATTAAACATCATGGCAGCTGATACAACCGGCTGGGATCTGCTGGTGAKGACAGTGTGAAACTTACAGGTGCTTTTCCAATGGCTGCATTTCAAACTCGAAACAGTTTGACAGCACTGATGCAGGAAATGAGGCTCCTCTTCCTTCCTCAACAGCAGACTTTCCTTGTGAACCTTTGTGCCAGAAGTGTATTTCTGAGTCAGAAGTAAACCCAGCAGTCCCCTCCTGACACTCAGCTCTCATTTTACACACTGTGTATGGCCCTTCCATAGCAGATCGTCAYAGCATGGATTCTAATGGGTCAGCTTACACCGAGAATTTTTTTGTGTTGCTTCTCTGTAAAGAAACAAAATCACAGAATCACAGTATCAATAAGATTGGAAAAGACCTGTAAGATCATCGAGTCCAGCCTTTGTATGAACTCCACCTTATAAAGTAGGCAATGGCACTAAGTTCCATGTCCAGTCTTTCCTTAAATCCTTCCAGGGACAGTGGCCCTACCACCTCCCTGGGCAGCCTGTTCCAATGTCCACTCACTTTTTCTGTGGAGAATTTCTTCCCGATGTCCAAGCTAAACCTCCCCAGGTGTAATTTGAGGCCATTTCCTCTTGTCCTGATGCTGGTTGCCTGGGAGAAGAGGCCGACCCTCACCTGCCTACAACCTCTTTTCAGCGAGTTGTAGAGAGTGATAAAGTCGCCCTTTTTTTTTCAGGGTGCCTCCTTTTCTTCAGGCTAAACACCCTCAGTTCCCTCAGCAATTCCTCATGGGACTTGTGCTTCAGAACCTTCTCCAGTTCCATTGCCCTTCTCTGGACTCGCTCCAGCACCTCCACATCCTTCTTGGAGTGAGGGGCCCAGAACTGGGCACGGCACTCACCAGTGCCGAGTACGGGGGGAAAATCACTTCCCTAGTCCCGCTGGCCACACAGCGAAACCCCAAACCAAAGAGAACCCACCCAAAAACCAGTCAGACCAACTCCGGGGGACGACGAGGCCCCTTGCACGGCGGGTGGGGGTAGGAGCCAGGCCTGTGTGGCTCCGGGCGGGCGGAGCGGGGGAACCCGTGCTGCCGGTGCCGGGTGTCCCGGGCTGGTGGCGGGCCGCGGGCAGGGGGACAGGGGGACACGGGGACAGGGAATTCCCTCACGCGCGGCGTGTCTTTTGTGTTTGTACACACGGGGCGGGGCGGGGCCGCGGGCGGGGCCGCTCCTTCCCTCCATTGTGCGCCATTGGCGGGCGCGCGGGCCGGGGCGGGGCGGCGCTCGCGGGGGGCGGGGCGGCGCGCGGGGCCGGCCCTCCTGAGGCGGCCATCTTTCAATTGTGCTCCGAGCCGCCGCCAGCGCCAGCCGCAGCAGCTCCGGCTCCTCCTGCGCCCGCCCATTGTGCTCCGAGCCGCCGCCAGCGCCAGCCGCAGCAGCTCCGGCTCCTCCTGCGCCCGCCCGCCTGCCCGCCC